AGCCCGGGGGGGGACGGGGGGGGGGGTACACCCCAAAAATGGGGAGGGGGATGGGAAAAATGGGGGTGAAAATTGGGGAAAAATGGGGAAAAAATGAGGGGAAAATTGGGGTGGGGAAAGATGAAAAAAGTGGTAAAAAAAGCGAAAAAATGGGAAAAATGCAAAAAAAAAGAGGGAAAAGTGGAAAAAATTGTGGAAAAACGCACAAAAATAGAGGGGAAAGTGGAAAAAATGGGGGGAAAGTGAGGGGGAATGTAAAAATTGGGGTAAAATGCACAAAAAGTGAGGAGGAATGTTTAAATGTCATGGGGAAAGTGGAAAAAATGGGGGGGGAAGAGGAAAAAGTGGGGGGAAAGTCCTAAAATTGGGGGGAAATGTATAAAAGTTGAGAGAAAAGTGGAGAAAAGTGGAGGAGGAGCAAAAAGATGGGGTGGAAATGCAAAAATTTGTGGGAAATGCTCAAAAATTTGGGGGGAAAGTGTAAAAAATGGGAGGAAAAAGGAAAAAAATTGAGGAAAAGTGAAAAAAATGGGGAGAAATGGACAAAAAGTGGGGGAGAAACTCAAATGTTGGGGGGAAAAGTGGAAAAAATGTGGAGAAAACAGGAAAAGTGGGACAAAAGTAGAAAAATTAAGGGGAAAGTGCAAAAATTAATGAGAAAAGTGCAAAAAATTGGGGAAAAGTGACAAAAAAAAAGGGAGAAACCACCAAAAAAATGGGGGGAAAGGATAAAAAATGGGAGTGGAACCCAAAAAAATTGGGGAAAAACTCACCAAAAATTTGGAGAATCCAAAAAAAATGGGAATTGGGAGCCCTGGAATGTTGGGGGGGCAAAAAAAAGTGAGGGAAACACAAAGAAAGTGATGGAAAAGTAGAAAAAATGAGAGAACAAACCCAAAAAATGGAGAAAATGACCCAGAAAATTATGGGAAGTGCATCTGGAATAGGAGAGATCCCAAAAATGGGGGTGGGAACCCCAAAAATTGGGGAGATGGGCCCCGAAAATGGGGAATTCTGCCCAAAAATGTGAAGGGACAGCTCAAAAATGGGGAAAAAACACCAAAAAAAAAGGGGGAAAAGACCCAAAATAGGAGGAAAAGTCCAGAAAAGAGGGAGAAACTTCCCAAAAAAAATGGGGAGACCCCAAAAATGGGGATGGGGGAGCCCCAAAATGTGGGAATGATCCCTAAAAAATCAGAGAAAAAGCCCAAAAATGGGGAAAAACCCCAAAAATGGGGAAAAACCCCAAAAATGGGGGCACACCGTGGAGCCCAAAAGGGGGGGAACGCCCCCCCGGGGGGTGCGCTAACGGTGCCCCCCCGCCCCGTGGGGGTCTCTGACAATGCCCCCCGCCCCGGTGGGGGTCTCTAACGGTGCCCCCCGCCCCGTGGGGGTCTCTAACGGTGCCCCCCCGCCCTGGTGGGGGTCTTTAACGGTGCCCCCCCGCCGCGGGGGGGTCTCTGACAATGCCCCCCTGCCCCGGGGGGTTTCTAACGGTGTCCCCCTACCCCGGGGAGGGTCTCTGACAATGCTCCCCGCCCCGGGGGGGTCTCTAACGGTGCCCCCCCTACCCCGTGGGGGTCTCTAACGATGTCCCCCTACCCCGGGGAGGGGTCTCTGACAATGCCCCCCGCCCCGAGGGGGTCTCTGACAATGTCCCCCCGACCCGGAGGGGGTCTCTGACAATGCCCCCCGCCCCGGGGGGGTCTCTGACAATGCCCCCCGCCCCGGGGGGGTCTCTGACAATGCCCCCCGCCCCGGGGGGGTCTCTGACAATGCCCCCCGCCCCGGGGGGGTCTCTGACAATGCCCCCCGCCCAGCCGCGCCCCACGCGGGGCCGGATGCGGATCCACTGCCTGGAGAACGTGGAGAAGGCGCTGCGCTTCCTGCGGGAGCAGCGCGTGCACCTGGAGAACGTGGGCTCGCACGACATCGTGGACGGCAACCCCCGCCTGACCCTCGGCCTGGTCTGGACCATCATCCTGCGCTTCCAGGTGACCCCCCCGGCACCCCCCGGCCGGCGGGAAATGGGGCGGGGGGCGCGGCCCGGACCCGCCCTGCGGGGGCTGTGCCCGTCCTGGAGCCGCCCCGGGGGGGTTTGGGGTCATTTTGGGGGGTTTTAGAGCCGCCCTGGGGGGTTTGGGGTCATTTAGGGAGGTCCTGAACCCAACCTGATATGTTTGGGGTCATTTAGGGGGGGTCCCAAACCCACTCTGGGGTGTTTGGGGTCATTTCGGGGGGTTTTGGAGCTGCCCTGGAGGGTTTGGGGTCATTTCTAGGGGTCCTGAACCCTCTCTGGGGTGTTTGGGGACATTCCAGGGGGTCCCAAACCCACCCTGGGGTGTTTGGGGTAATTTTGGGGGGTCCTGGAGCTGCCCTGGGGGGTTTGGGGTCATTTAGGGAGGTCCTGAACCCACTCTGGGGTGTTTGGGGTCATTTCGGGGGGTTTTGGAGCTGCCCTGGAGGGTTTGGGGTCATTTCTAGGGGTCCTGAACCCTCTCTGGGGTGTTTGGGGACATTCCAGGGGGTCCCAAACCCACCCTGGGGTGTTTGGGGTAATTTTGGGGGGTCCTGGAGCTGCCCTGGGGGGTTTGGGGTCATTTAGGGAGGTCCTGAACCCACTCTGGGGTGTTTGGGGTCATTTCGGGGGGTTTTGGAGCTGCCCTGGAGGGTTTGGGGTCATTTCTAGGGGTCCTGAACCCTCTCTGGGGTGTTTGGGGACATTCCAGGGGGTCCCAAACCCACCCTGGGGTGTTTGGGGTAATTTTGGGGGGTCCTGGAGCTGCCCTGGGGGGTTTGGGGTCATTTAGGGAGGTCCTGAACCCACTCTGGGGTGTTTGGGGTCATTTCGGGGGGTTTTGGAGCTGCCCTGGAGGGTTTGGGGTCATTTCTAGGGGTCCTGAACCCTCTCTGGGGTGTTTGGGGACATTCCAGGGGGTCCCAAACCCACCCTGGGGTGTTTGGGGTAATTTTGGGGGGTCCTGGAGCTGCCCTGGGGGGTTTGGGGTCATTTAGGGAGGTCCTGAACCCACTCTGGGGTGTTTGGGGTCATTTCGGGGGGTTTTGGAGCTGCCCTGGAGGGTTTGGGGTCATTTCTAGGGGTCCTGAACCCTCTCTGGGGTGTTTGGGGACATTCCAGGGGGTCCCAAACCCACCCTGGGGTGTTTGGGGTAATTTTGGGGGGTCCTGGAGCTGCCCTGGGGGGTTTGGGGTCATTTAGGGAGGTCCTGAACCCACTCTGGGGTGTTTGGGGTCATTTCGGGGGGTTTTGGAGCTGCCCTGGAGGGTTTGGGGTCATTTCTAGGGGTCCTGAACCCTCTCTGGGGTGTTTGGGGACATTCCAGGGGGTCCCAAACCCACCCTGGGGTGTTTGGGGTAATTTTGGGGGGTCCTGGAGCTGCCCTGGGGGGTTTGGGGTCATTTAGGGAGGTCCTGAACCCACTCTGGGGTGTTTGGGGTCATTTCGGGGGGTTTTGGAGCTGCCCTGGAGGGTTTGGGGTCATTTCTAGGGGTCCTGAACCCTCTCTGGGGTGTTTGGGGACATTCCAGGGGGTCCCAAACCCACCCTGGGGTGTTTGGGGTAATTTTGGGGGGTCCTGGAGCTGCCCTGGGGGGTTTGGGGTCATTTAGGGAGGTCCTGAACCCACTCTGGGGTGTTTGGGGTCATTTCGGGGGGTTTTGGAGCTGCCCTGGAGGGTTTGGGGTCATTTCTAGGGGTCCTGAACCCTCTCTGGGGTGTTTGGGGACATTCCAGGGGGCCCCAAACCAACCCTGGGGTGTTTGGGGTAATTTTGGGGGGTCCTGGAGCTGCCCTGGGGGGTTTGGAGTCATTTAGGGAGGTCCTGAACCCACTCTGGGGTGTTTGGGGTCATTTTGGGGGGTTCCAAACCCACCCTGGGGGGTTCGAAACCCACCCTGGGGGGTTTGGGGTCATTTTGGGGGGTCCTGGAGCTGCCCTGGGAGGTTTGGGGTCATTTCTAGGGGTCTTGAACCCACTCTGGGATGTTTGGGGTCATTTTGGGGGGTCCCAAACCCACCCTGGGGGTTTGGGGTCATTTAGGGAGGTCCTGAACCCAACCTGGGATGTTTGGGGTCATTTAGGGGGGTCCCAAACCCACCGTGGGGTGTTTGGGGACATTCCGGGGGGTCCCAAACCCACCCTGGGGTGTTTGGGGACATTTTGGAGGGTCCTGGAGCTGCCCTGAGGGTTTGAGGTAATTTAGGGAGGTCCTGAACCCAACCTGATATGTTTGGGGTCATTTAGGGGGGTCCCAAACCCACCCTGGGGTGTTTGGGGACATTTTGGAGGGTCCTGGAGCTGCCCTGAGGGTTTGAGGTAATTTAGGGAGGTCCTGAACCCAACCTGATATGTTTGGGGTCATTTAGGGGGGTCCCAAACCCACCCTGGGGTGTTTGAGGTTATTTTGGGGGGTTTTAGAGCCGCCCTGGGGGGTTTGGGGTCATTTATGGGGGTCCTGAACCCACCCTGGGGTGTTTGGGGACATTTTGGAGGGTCCCGGAGCTGCCCTGAGGGTTTGAGGTCATTTAGGGAGGTCCTGAACCCAACCTGATATGTTTGGGGTCATTTTGGGGGGGTCCCAACCCACCCAGGGGTCTCAGTTTGGTCACAAAAATCCCCAGACCTTCCCCAGGCTCCTTTTGGGGGGGGGGTCTCACGCCCACTTTGGGAGTCCTGACCCCACCACGAGATGCTTGCACCCATTTTGGTGGTTCCAGACCCACTTTGGGGGGTCCTTGACCCCAATTTGGGGGTCCCTACCCCCGTTTTTGCCCCCCCGCCCCCAGATCCAGGACATCAGCGTGGAGACTGGGGACACTCGGGAGAGGAAATCGGCCAAGGACGCGCTGCTGGCCTGGTGCCAGATGAAAACCGCGGGGTGAGGGCTCCTGGGGGGTCCTGGGGGGGTTTTGGGGGTCGGCTGGGCTGGGGAGGGGCTGGACTGGGGAAGGGACTGTGGGGAGGGGGATGTGGGGGTTGTAGGGTGGCAGTTTTGGGGTGGGAGTCTGTGGGGTCATGGGGCAGGGTCAGAGGTTATGGGGTGCTGTGGGTCAGTGGTCAGTGGCTGTGGGTCAGTGGTCAGTGGTTATGGGGTGCTGTGGGTCAGTGGTCAGTGGTTATAGGTCAGTGGTCAGTGGTTATGGATCAGTGGTCAGTGGTCAGTGGTTATGGGGTGCTGTGGGTCAGTGGTCAGTGGTTATAGGTCAGTGGTCAGTGGTTATGGATCAGTGGTCAGTGGTCAGTGGTTATGGGGGGCTGTGGATCAGTGGTCAATGGCTGTGGGGTGCCGTGGGTCAGTGTCTCAGTGGTCAGTGGTTAGTGGTTGTGGGTCACTGGTCAGCAGTTATGGGTCAGCGGTCAGCGGTCAGTGGTTATGGGTCAGTGGTCACTGGCTATGGGGTGCTGTGGGTCAGTGTCTCAGTGGTCAGTGGTTATGGGTCAGTGGTCAGTGATCAGTGGTCAGTGTCTCAGTGGTCAGTGGTTATGGGTCAGTGGTCAGTGGTCAGCGGTCAGTGTCTCAGTGGTCAGTGGTCAGCTGTCCGGTCGCCCCCAGGCCGGAGCTGCTGGATGTGGGGTCCCTGCGCGGAGCCAACGCCCTCCACAACCTGCAGAGCGCCTTCGCCGTGGCCGAGCGCGAGCTGGGGGTCACTCGGCTGCTGGACCCCGAGGGTGAGGGGCTGGGGGCGAGCTGGGGGTCCGGGGGGGGATTTGGGAGGGATTTGGGGGTGGATTTGGGGGTCTGATCCCCCCACGCCCCCCAGATGTGGCCGTGGAGCAGCCGGACGAGCGGTCAGTGCTGGGGGGCTGTGATGGGTCAGGGGGGTTTGGGGCTCCTGGGGGGGATTTGGGGCTCCTGGGGTGGGATTTGAGGGTGGATTTGGGGGTCCCTGGGGGATTTGGGGATGGTTTTGGGGGTCTGACCCCCCGTGCCCCCCAGATGTGGCCGTGGAGCAGCCGGACGAGCGGTCAGTGCTGACCTACGTGGCCGCGCTCTACCATCACTTCTCCAGGATGAAGGCGCTGGCCGTGGAGGGAAAACGCGTCGGGAAGGTCCGGGGTGGACACGGGGTGGACAGACGGACACGGGGTGGACAGACGGACACAGGGTGGACAGATGGACACGGGGTGGACACAGGGGGACACAGGGATGGACACACAGGTGGATGGAAAGGGGACTGGGGGAGGAGGAAGGGGTGGACAGATGGACGGTGGATGGCCGGACAGACGATGGACAGATGGACAGACAGACGATGGGCAGATGGACAGACAGACGATGGGCAGATGGTGTCAGGGGGGTGGGGACTGGACAGAATCCGCGGGAATGGGCGGGGGGGAGGAAGGGACAGATGGGGAATGGGCAGAGGGACAGGTGGGGGATGGAGAGAGGGATGGATGGGGGATGGACAGAGGGACAGAGGAGATGGACAGAGGGACAGATGGGGGATGGAGAGAGGAATGGATGGATGATGCATGGATGATGGATGTGAGAACAAATGGATGGATGGATAATGGATGGATGATGGACGGATGGATGGATGGATGGATGGATAATGGATGGATGATGGACGGATGGATGGATGGATGGATGGATAATGGATGGATGATGGACGGATGGATGGATGGATGGATGGATAATGGATGGATGATGGACGGATGGATGGATGGATGGATGGATAATGGATGGATGATGGACGGATGGATGGATGGATGGATGGATAATGGATGGATGATGGACGGATGGATGGATGGATGGATGGATAATGGATGGATGATGGACGGATGGATGGATGGATGGATGGATAATGGATGGATGATGGACGGATGGATGGATGGATGGATGGATAATGGATGGATGATGGACGGATGGATGGATGGATGGATGGATAATGGATGGATGATGGACGGATGGATGGATGGATGGATGGATAATGGATGGATGATGGATGGATGGACGGACACAGGGTTGGATGGATGATGGATGATGGATGTGTGTGAGGACAGACAGACAGACGGACGGTCAGCCAGCCGCTCCCCGTGCCCCGCAGGTGCTGGAGGCGGCGCGCGAGGCCGAGGGCCTGGCCGGCCGTTACGAGGCGCAGGCGGCCGAGCTGCTGGGCTGGATCCAGCGCTCGCTGCTGCTCCTCACCGACCGGCGCCTGCCCCGCGGCATCCCCGGCCTGCAGGGGCAGCTCCAGGCCTTCAGCGCCTACCGCACCACCGAGAAACCCCCCCGGTGAGACCCCCACCGGGCCGGGCTCTGGGGGCTTCCCAATGGGGTCTGGGGGCTGCCCAGAGGGGTCTGGGGGCTGCCCAAAAGGGTCTGGGGGCTGCCCAGAGGGGTTTGGGAGCTCCCTGCTGGGGTCTGGGGGCTACCCAGAGGGATCTGGAGGCTGCCCAAAGGGGTCTGGGGGCTGCCCAAAAGGGTCTGGGGGCTGCCCAGAGGGGTTTGGGAGCTCCCTGCTGGGGTCTGGGGGCTACCCAGAGGGATCTGGAGGCTGCCCAAAGGGGTCTGGGGGCTGCCCAAAAGGGTCTTGGGGCTACCCAGAGGTGTTTGGGGGCCCCAAAGGGGATTTGGGATCTCCTTACTGGGGGTTGGGGTCTCCAAAAGGGGGATTGGGGTCTCCAACAGGTGGTTTGGGATCTCCCTGCTGGGGTCTGGGGCTGCCCAGAGGGGTCTGGGGGCTGCCCAGTGGGGTTTAGGGACTGCCCAGAGGGGTCTGGGGGCTGCCCAGTGGGGTTTGGGGTCTCCAAGAGGGGGTTTGGGATCTCCCTAGTGGGGTTTGGGGTCCCCCCCAGTGGGTTTCAGGTTCTCTCTGAGAGGTTTTGGGGCATCCCTGGGGCTCAGGGTGGGTTTTAGGATCCCCCCCAGGGTATTTTGGGGTCCCTCCCATGTATTTTGGGGTCTCCCCGGTGCATTTTGGGTCCCCCCAGGTTCGAGGACAAGGGCTCCCTGGAGGTGCTGCTGTTCTCGCTCCGGAGCCGCCTCCGCGCCAACAACCAGCGGCAGTTCGTGCCCAGGGAGGGGACACACAGCGCTGACATCAACAGGGTGACAGCCACGGGGACACGGGGACACTGGGGACACCAGCAGGGTGTCAGCCACGGGGACACTGGGGACCTCAACAGGGTAACAGCCATGGGAACACGGGGGACACCGGGGACACCAGCAGGGTGTCAGCCACGGGGACACTGGGGACCTCAACAGGGTAACAGCCATGGGAACACGGGGGACACCGGGGACACCAGCAGGGGGACAGCCACGGGGACACTGGGGACATCAACAGGGTAACAGCCACAGTAACACGGGTGCCAAGTGTGCCAGCTGTGCAGGTACCCCAGGTGTGAAGGTGTCCCGGTGACACAGATGACACAGGTGCCAGGTGTGCCAGGTGACACAGACGACAAAGATGCCAGGTGCCAGCTGTGCAGGTGCCCAGGTGACACAGATGACACAGATGACAGGTGCCAGGTGCCCCGGGTTCCAGGTGCCCAGGGGACACAGATGACACAGATGACACAGATGACAGGTGCCCCGGGTGCCCAGGTGCCCAGGTGACACGGATGTCAGGTGCCCCAGGTGCTCAGGTGACACAGATGACACAGATGACACAGGTGCCCCGGGTGCCCCGGTGACCGCGCTGTCCCCGCAGGCGTGGGAGCGGCTGGAGAAGGCGGAGCACGGCCGGGAGCTGGCGCTGCGCTCGGAGCTGCTCCGGCAGCAGCACCTGGAGCAGCTGGCGGCGAGGTTCCACCGCAAGGCCGCCCTCAGGGAGACCTGGCTGGGGGACAACCAGCGCCTGGTGGCACAGGTGACACGGGGACTCCCACACAGGGACCCCTGAGACCCCCCCAAACAACCCTCAGTCAGGGACAAGGAGCACCTGGTGGCACAGGTGACACTGGGACCCTCAGCCCACCCCCAGTCAGGGACAACCTGGTGGCTCAGGTGACCCTGAAACTGCCCCCACCCCAGGGGACTTCCCCTTGTCCCCACCAGGACAATTTCAGGATGTGTCATCCCCCCCCCCCCCCACCTTTGTCACCTCTCAGCCCCTTTTTTTTTCTCCTCCAGGACAATTCTTGGGATGTCCCCACAGTGTCCTCCCCACCTTTTACCATTTCTGCCCCCTCTCCCACCCCAGGATGATTTTGGGGGGGGGGGGGGCCCCGGGGGGGCCCTTCCCCCCCCCCCCCTTTTTCCCCCCCAAAAAAATTCCAGGGGGGGTCCCGGGAGTGTCCCTTCCCTCACCCTGCTTTCCCGCCACCCAGGACAATTCTGGGGATGTCCCCAGAGTGTCCCCCCCACCTTTAACCCCTTCTCCCCCCTCTCCCACCCCAGAACAATTTCGAGGGGGTTCCCGGGAGTGTCCCCTCCCTCACCCCCCTTTTACCCCGTCAGAACAATTCCAGGGGGGGTCCCGGGAGTGTCCCTTCCCTCACCCCCCTTTTACCCCCCCAGAACAATTCCAGGAGGGGTCCCGGGAGTGTCCCCTCCCTTACCCCCCTTTGCCCCCACCAGGACAATTTCGGGGGGTCCCTGGGGGGGGTCGAGGCCGCGCTGCGCAAGCACGAGGCCATCGAGAGCGACATCGCCGCCTACGGCAGCCGCGTGCGCGCCGTCACCGCCGTGGCCGCCGAGCTGGAGGCCGAGCGCTATCACGACATGGGCGGCATCGCGACACGGCGCGACCACGTGGTGTCGCTTTGGGAGGCGCTGCGGGCGCAGGTGGCGGCGCGGCGAGAGCGGCTCCGGGCGCACCTGGAGCTGCAGCGGCTCCTGCGCGACCTGGAGCACCTGATGGGCTGGATGGAGGAGATGGAGGTGGGGAGGGGGCTGGACTGGGGGGGGAGTGGGATCCCCTCGTGGGACCCCCCCCCCCCCCCGCCCCCCGGGGGGCCCCCCCCCCCCCCGTGACCCTCCCGGTGTCCCCAGGTGCGGCTGCAGTCGCGGGATTTCGGGCAGCACCTGAGCCAGGTGGACGATCTGCTGCAGATCCACGCCCTGGTCGAGGGGGACGTGGCGGCCCAGGCCGAGAGGGTCCGGAGTGTGGGGGCGGCGGCCGAGCGCTTCCTCGGGGAGGGGGGCGGTGAGTGACCCCCCCCAAAACTGAGAACCCCAAAGTTGGGATCCCCTGGGATGCCTCAGAACCCCCAAACCCAGCGACACCTGAATCCCAGGACCCCCACGCACCTGAGACCCCCAAAAGCAAGACCTAGCAGAACCCCAAAATGAACCCCCAAAAACTGTGAGCCCCAAAAACCGAGACCCCAAAACACCGAATCCCTGAACCCCGGGACCTCCAAATCCCAGACCCCCAGCACCCTCAAACTCTGGGTCTCCCAAATCCTCAGCATCCCTGAATCCCAAACCCTGGGACCCCCCAAAATCGGCATCCCTAAACACCGTATCCCTGAACCCTGGGGGATTCCAGACCCCAGGACGCCCAAACCCTGCGACCCCCGGACCCCCCAAGCGCCGCTGACCCCCTCCCGTGCCCCCCAGGGTACCGCCCGTGCCCCCCGGAGCAGCTGCGGTCCCGCGTGGCGGCTCTGGAGCTGCGCTACCGGGGGCTCTCGGCGCTGTCGGCGCAGCGGCGGCTGCGGCTGGAGCGCTCCCGGCGCCTCTGGAAGTTCCTGTGGGACGCGGGCGAGGAGGAAGCCTGGATGCGGGAGCAGGAGCGGCTCCTGCGCTGCCCGGAGCTGGGCCGGGACCTGCCGGGAGCCCTGCGGATGCTGAGCCAGCTCGAGGCCATCCGAGGGGCGCTGGGGGGACGAGCGGGGCCGCTGCAGCAGCTGCTGGAGCGGGGCCGGGAGCTGCTGGCGCAGGGAGCCCCCGACGGAGCCGCGGGATCCGTGGAAGCCAGCCCTGGATCGGTGGAAGCCGCCCCTGGGTCAGCGGGATCCGCTGCCGGATCAACGGGAGGGGCAAAACCCGCGGAATCCGCTGCCGGATCCGCCGCCAGATCCACGGGACCCCCGGAATCCAAGAACGCGTCCCCGGGACGCGCTGCTGGACCCCTGCAATCCCCCCCTGCATCCACGGAGGGACTCTCGGCATCCTCCAGCAGACCCTCGGAACGCCCCGACGGCTCCACGGAACCCACTGGGACACCCACAGACCCCTCCGAGGGACCCCCGGGCCCCGCTCCCGGCTCCCCGGACCCCGCGGCCGCCGTGTCCCGCCGGATCCGGGAGCTGGAGTCGCTCTGGGCGGCGCTGCCGGTGCTGGCCGGGGCCCGGGAGCGGCGGCTCCGCGCGGCCGCGGGGCGATTCCAGCTGGACGCGGAGGCGGCCGAGGCCGAGGCGTGGCGGGCGGCCGCCGCCCGGCGAGTGGAGGGGCCGGAGCTCGGGCACGACGAGCGCTCGGCGGGGATGCTGGAGCGGCGGCTGCGGGAGCTGCAGGACGAGCTGCGGCGGCGCGGGGCAGCGCTGGCGGCGCTGCGGGAGCAGGCTCTGCCCGGAGATGCCGCCGACGTTCCCGACGTGGTGCCGGGGCTGGCGGAGCGGCTGGCGGAGCTGGAGCGGCGGCACCGGGAGCTGGAGGAGCGGGCGGAGCTGCGGCGCCTGGAGCTGCGGGACGCGCTGGGATTGTTCTCGGCGCGCAGCGAGGCCGATGCCTGCGCGCTCTGGGTGGGCGAGAGGGAGCAGTGGCTGCTCTCCATGGAGATTCCCGAGCGGATCGAGGACCTGGAGGTGGTGCAGCAGCGGTGAGCGCCCGGGGCTCCCCGTGCTGCACCGTGGGAATCCCAGAGTTATTCCCAGAATTATTCCCGGGAAGTCCCGGGGTGCCCGTGGTCGCCCCCACTGGGATTCCCCCAGGAATCCTCCCAAGAATACCCCGTTATTGCCGTTTTTCCTCAGGATGTCTCCAGTATTCCCATTATTCCCGGTATTCCCTGAATTGCTACCTCCACCACAACATTCCCAGTGTTCCTGGTGTCCCCGTTTTCCCAGAATTTTCACTTCCAACACAGCATTCCCTGTACTCTCTCAATTCTCACCTCGACCTGAGATATTCCCAGCATTCCCAAAATTCCCACCTCCAACACCGTATTCCCAGCGCTCCCAAAATTCCCTAAATTCCCACCTCCAGCGCAGTACTGCCAGAATTTGTGGCATTCCCAGGGTTTGTGGCATTCCCACCTCTGGCACGGTGTTGCTGAGGTTTCCAGCCTTCCCGGAATTCCCGGAATTCCCGGTCATTCCCGGTGCTCCCGCAGGTTCGAGACGCTGGAGCCGGAGCTGGCGGCGCTGGCGGCGCGCGTGGCCTCCGTGGGCCGCGTCACGGAGGAGCTGCAGGGATCCGGGGACAGGAACCGGGAGAGCGCCCGGGAGACCTGGGAGCAGCTCCGGGACAGGTGGGGACGGGCCCGGCGGGGCCATTCCGGGCAGGGACTGGGGGTGGATCCGGGCAGGGATGGATTTTCCAGGCGCTCCAGGCGGGGGTGGGTTCTCCGGGCAGTCAGGGATGCTCCAGGCATGCAGGGAGGAGTTTTCCCGGCCGGATGCTCTGGGAAGGGATGGATTCTCGGGGCTGGGACGCTCCAGGGATGGATTCTCCGGGCTGGGACGCTCCAGGGATGGATTCTCCGGGCTGGGATGCTCCAGGGATGGATTCTCCGGGCTGGGATGTATAGAGATGGATTCTCGGGGCTGGGATGCTCCAGGGATGGATTCTCGGGGCTGGGATGCTCCAGGGATGGATTCTCGCGGCTGGGATGCTCCAGGGATGGATTCTCGGGGCTGGGATGCTCCAGGGATGGATTCTCCGGGCTGGGATGTACAGAGATGGATTCTCTGGGCTGGGATGTACAGAGATGGATTCTCGGGGCTGGGATGCTCCAGGGATGGATTCTCGGGGCTGGGACGCTCCAGGGATGGATTCTCGGGGCTGGGATGCTCCAGGGATGGATTCTCGGGGCTGGGATGCTCCAGGGATGAATTCTCTGGGCCGGGACGCCCCGGGCGCTCCCCGGGCTCTGTCCCACCGTGCCCCGATCCCTCCCGTGCCAGGTGGGAGCGGTTCCGGGCGCTGGCCGAGCGCAAGAAGGTGGCGCTGACCGCGGCGCTGAACATCCACAATTTCCGCCTGGAATGCCACGAGACGCGGGGCTGGATGCGGGAGAAGACGGCGGCCATCGAGGCCACGCGGGGGCTGGGCCGGGACCTGGCGGGGATCACGGCGCTGCAGGCGAAGCTGTCGGGGATGGGGCGCGACCTGGACGCCATCCAGGGCAAGCTGCGGGAGCTGCGGGCCGAGGGCGAGAAGCTGCAGGGGGAGCAGCCGGAGCGAGCGCCCGAGATCCGCGAGGAGCTGGCGGGGCTCGAGGCCGAGTGGGACGCGCTGCGCCGGTGCCACCGGAGCCGCGAGGAGTCCCTGGGGCAGGCGCGGCGGCTCCAGGGCTTCCTGCGGGACCTGGCGGCGCTCCAGGCCTGGCTGTCCCGCACCCGCGCGGCCGCGGGCTCTGAGGATGTCCCCGCGTCCCTGGCCGAGGCCGAGGGCTCCCTGCGGCAGCACGAGAGCCTCCGCACCGAGATCTCGCACTACGGCGCCGATTACCGGAGCGCCCGCGCCGCCGGGCGGGAGGTGACGCGGGGACAGACGGACCCGCAGAGCCTGTCCCTGCTGCAGCGCCTGGAAGCGCTGGATGCCGACTGGGAAGAGCTGGGCCGGGTCTGGGAGAAGCGGCAGCGGCTCCTGGCCCAGGCTGTCGCTTTCCACGTGTTCCTGCGGGACGCCAAGCAGGTGGAGGGGACGCTGGGGAAGCAGGTGAGGGGATCCGGGGTGTTCCGGGGGATCCCGGGGCTCCGGTGCTGTCCCAATCCCGATCCCAATCCCGATCCCGGCTCGCAGGAGCACACGCTGGCCCACACGGAGCTGCCGGGCACGGTGCCGGGCGCGGAGGCGGCCGTGCGGAGGCTGGAGGAGTTCCTGGCCGCGCTGGACACCGGCACCGAGCGCGTCCGGGCGCTCACGGACACCGGGCGGAAGCTGCTGGACGAGGGCGGCGTCCACGCGGAAAAGGTGCGGGAGACGGTGGAGTCGGTGGAGAGCAGGTGAGGGAGACCCATCCCAGTCCATCCCAGTCTGTCCCAGTCCGTCCCATGCCCTGGGAATGGGGTCTCTCACACCCCCCGGCCCTGGCACAGGCACCAGAAGATCCGGGAATCGGCCCAGGAGCTGCTGGGGCGGCTGCGGGATAACTGGGAGCTGCAGAAGTTCCTGCAGGATGGGCAGGAGGTGAGACGGGATCGGGATTGGGATGGGATTGGGATTGGGATTGGGATTGGGATTGGGATTGGGATGGGATTGGGATCGGGATCGGGATTGGGATGGGATTGGGATTGGGATGGGATTGGGATGGTCCGGGGTGTTCCGGGGGATCCCGGGGCTCCGGTGCTGTCCCAATCCCGATCCCAATCCCGATCCCGGCTCGCAGGAGCACACGCTGGCCCACACGGAGCTGCCGGGCACGGTGCCGGGCGCGGAGGCGGCCGTGCGGAGGCTGGAGGAGTTCCTGGCCGCGCTGGACACCGGCACCGAGCGCGTCCGGGCGCTCACGGACACCGGGCGGAAGCTGCTGGACGAGGGCGGCGTCCACGCGGAAAAGGTGCGGGAGACGGTGGAGTCGGTGGAGAGCAGGTGAGGGAGACCCATCCCAGTCCATCCCAGTCTGTCCCAGTCCGTCCCATGCCCTGGGAATGGGGTCTCTCACACCCCCCGGCCCTGGCACAGGCACCAGAAGATCCGGGAATCGGCCCAGGAGCTGCTGGGGCGGCTGCGGGATAACTGGGAGCTGCAGAAGTTCCTGCAGGATGGGCAGGAGGTGAGACGGGATCGGGATTGGGATGGGATTGGGATTGGGATTGGGATTGGGATTGGGATTGGGATTGGGATTGGGATGGGATTGGGATCGGGATCGGGATCGGGATTGGGATGGGATTGGGATGGGATTGGGATGGGATTGGGATCGGGATCGGGATTGGGATGGGATTGGGATTGAGATGGGATTGGGATGAGGATGGAGATCAGGGATGGATGGGGTTAAAATGGGGATGGGGTGAAGATGAGAACTGGGCTGGGATGGGACTGTGGGAAGAGATCCTGACTGGTGTCCCTGTTCCCGTTCCCATCCCTGTGTCCGTTCCCGTTCCCATCCCCGTTCCTGTCCCCGTTGCCGTTCCCAGCTGACGCTGTGGCTGAACGAGAAGCTGCCGGTGGCTCGGGACGTGTCCTACGAGGGCACGCGGGACCTGCAGGGCAAGTGGCAGAAGCACCAGGCCTTCGCCGCCGAGCTCGCGGCCAACCGGGGCTGGCTGGAGGCGCTGGAGAAGGTGGGAACGGCGGAAAACGGGGGGAAAACGGGGGAAAACTGGGGGAAAATGGGATGCAGGAAGGGCCAGCCCTTGGGAAAGGTGGGATATGGGAGGGGGAGTTGGGTCACAAAATTCCATGGGTCCAACCTCAGCAATTCTGTGATTCCACAGAATTCACAAAATTCCATGGGTCCAATGTCAGCAATTCTGTGATTCCACGGGTCCAACTCAGTGATTCTGTGGTTTTGTGGGTCTAACCTTTATAATTCCATAACTCCATGGGTCCGGTTTTGATGATCTCACCATCCCATGGGTCCAGTCTTCACAATCCCACAATTTACTGGGCCAGCCTCAAGGATCCCGTGTATCACTGACAACTCCATGACTTTTTGGGTCCAACCTTGATGGTTCCGTGGGTCCAGTTTCAACGATCCCACCACCCCACGTGTCCAGTCCTCATCACCCCACACCTAAATGTCTCCAACCTCAACAATTCCACAATTCCAAGCTTGACAACTCCATGACTTTTTGGGTCCAACCTTGATGGTTCTGTGGGTCCGGTTTCAATGATCCCACCACCCCATGTGTCCAATCCTCATCACCCCCCAACTAAACGTTTCCAGCCTCAACAGTCCCACAATTCCAGCCTTGACAACTCCATGAGTTTTTGGGTCCAACCCTGATGGTCCTGTCCCATAACTCCGTGCTGTCATTCCCGTGTCCCGCAGGACGGCGAGCAGCTGGCGCGGGCGCGGCCGGCGCTGGCCGGACAAGTGACCGCGCCCCGGCAGGAGCTGCGGGCGCTGTGGGCGCAGGTGGAGGCGGCGGCGGCCGCCAAGGGCCGGGGTTTGGCCGAGGCCGCGCGCGCCGAGAGCTGCGCCCAGGCCTGCGCCGGCCTGCGCTCCTGGCTGGCCGGGGTCCGCGCCCAGCTCCGCTCCGGCCACTGCGGCCAGGACCTGACCAGCGTCGGGGTCCTGCTGACCCGGCACCAGGTCAGGGCTGGGAAATGGGAAATGGGAACGGGGGGAAACGGGGGGCTGGGGGCTGTGGGGGACGGGGTGAAGGTTTGGGGTGCGGGGTTCACGTAAGCTGCGCCCAGGCCTGCGCCGGCCTGCGCTCCTGGCTGGCCGGGGTCCGCGCCCAGCTCCGCTCCGGCCACTGCGGCCAGGACCTGACCAGCGTCGGGGTCCTGCTGACCCGGCACCAGGGGGGCTGTGGGGGACGGGGTGAAGGTTTGGGGTGCGGGGTTCACGTACAGGTTTGGGGTGTGGGTTTTGGGTGGGTCTGGGGTGCGGGTTTGGGATAAGCAGGTTTTGGGGTGAAGGTTTTGGGTGCAGATTTTGGGGTGCTCAGGTTTTGTGTGCAGGTTTGAGATGCAGGATTTGGGGTGCTCAGGTTTTGGGGTGAAGATTCAGGGTGCAGATTTTGGGGTGCTCATGTTTTGTGTGCAGGTTTGTGATGCAGGATTTGGGTTCAGGTTTTGGGGTTCGGGTTTTTGGGTGTATGCTTTGTGATGCAGATTTGGGGTGCGGGTCTGTGATGCAGAATTTGGCTGTGGCTTTTAGAGTTCAGGTTTTGGGGTGCAGATTTTGGGGTGAGGTCCCCCGGGGCTCCCTGACCCCCCAAATCCCCGCAGCTGCTGGAGACGCAGGCGGCGCTGCGGGAGCAGGAGGTGGGGGCTCTTTGGGGTGCAGATTTTGGGGTCCCCCGGGGGTCCCTGACCCCCCAAATCCCCGCAGCTGCTGGAGACGCAGGCGGCACTGCGGGAGCAGGAGATGGGGGCTCTTTGGGGTGCAGATTTTGGGGTCTCCCGGGGGTCCCTGACCCCCCAAATCCCCGCAGCTGCTGGAGACGCAGGCGGCGCTGCGGGAGCAGGAGGTGGGGGCGCTGCGGGCGCAGGCCGGGGGGCTCAGCCCGGGGCACCCCCGGAGCGCGGGGGTGCAGGAGCAGGTGCGGGAGCTGGAGCAGCAGTTCCGGGAGCTGCGGGAGCCGCTGCGGGAGCGCGGGCGGAGCCTCGCGGCCGCCAGGGAGCTGCACCAGTTCCGCAGGGACCTGGAGGACGAGCTGGTGAGTGGGGGGGACCTCCCTCGGGGGATGGCACTGACACCTGGGGTCCCCCGTGCCTGACCCCCCATTCCTGACCCCCCATTCCTGATCCCGAATCTCTGACCCCGAATCTCTGACCGCTCCCCCCATTCCTTACCCCAAATCTGACCCCTCCCCTGTTGCTGACCCTAAATATCTGACTCCAAATCTCTGACCCCGAATCTCTGACCCCAAATCTCTGAACCCCAAATTCTGCCCCCCATGACTGCTCCCGACCCCCAGTCCCTGAGTCTCCCCCATCCCTGTCCCGGACACCCAATGACCCCCAATGTCCCCAGTGTCCCCACTGACCCCCATGTCCCCAGTGTCCCCAATGTCCCCACTAACCCCCATGTCCCCAATGACCCCACTGACCCCCATGTCCCCGATGTCCCCAATGTCCCCAGTGACCCCCATGTCCCCACTGACCCCGATGTCCCCGATGTCCCCAATATCCCCCATGTCCCCAATGTCCCCAATATCCCCCATGTCCCCAATGTCCCCAATGTCCCCACTCCGATCTCGATGTCCCCAATATCCCCCATGTCCCCAATGTCCCCAATATCCCCCATGTCCCCAATGTCCCCAATGTCCCCACTGACCCTGATGTCCCCAATGTCCCCACTGACCCCCATGTCCCCAATGTCCCCACTGACCCCGGTGTCCCCATGTCCCCAGCTGTGGGTGCAGGAGCGCCAGGCCCTGGCCACGTCCACGGACCACGGCAAGGACCTGCCCTCGGTGCAGCTGCTGCTCCAGAAGAACGAGGTGGGTCAGAGGGTCCCCAAATGTCGCCCCGTGTCCCCTGTGACCCCCCCCAGGACTCATTCCACGGCCCTCACAGACCCCCTAGACCCCATGCTGTCCACCATGAACCCATAAACCCCCCCATAAACTGACCCCCCCCCCGGACCCCCGCAGACGCTGCAGAAGGAGCTGCAGGGCCGCGAGCGCCGCGTGACGGAGCTGCTGGAGCGGGGGGTGCCCGGCACGGGGGTCCCCGACTCGGGGGTACCCGGGGGGGTGCCCGGGGGGGTCCCGGCGCTGCGGGAGGCCTGGAGGGAGCTGCGGGAGCAGGCGGCGCGGAGGCAGAGGCGCCTGGAGGCCGCCCTGGCCGCCCAGCGCTTCCTGCGCGACGCCGCGGCCGCCGAGGCCTGGCTGGGCGAGAGGGAGCTGCACATGCTGGCCCAGGACAAGGCCAAGGTGGGGACAGGGCCGGGACGCCCCCCCCGGGGACAGCGGAGTCACCCCCGCCTTGGGGGAGGGGGTTTGGGGGTGCCAGGGGGGTAGGGAATGGGAGAGGGGGCCAGGGGCTGTGGGGGTCAGAGGGGGAGCTGAGGGGTCTGTGAGGGGTCTCTGAGGGGGTCGGGGGGTCTATGGGAGGCTTTTGGGGATCTCTGGGGATCAGGGAGGGTCAGAGGGGATTTCTGTGGGGTCCGGGGGGTCAGTGAGTGGCCTGGAGGGGTCAGGGGCACCCACAGGTCCTGCTGGGGGGCGGTGGCAGCGCGGTGACGCCGCGGTGTCCCCAGGACGAGCCGGGCGCCCAGGCCATGCTGAGCCGGCAGCTGGGGCTGGAGCAGGAGCTGCGCGACTACGGCGGCACCGTGGAGCTGCTGGCCCAGCAGGGCCGGGCCATGGCGGCCAGCGGCCACCCCGACGGGTGGGGACACCCTGGGGACACCCTGGGGACACCCTGGGGACACCCCCTGCCGCTGCGGGCACGGCCAGGGTGGCCCCTGACAGCCCTGTCCCCGTGCTCGCTGTCCCCTGAGGTCCCTGCTGTGTCGCCATGTCCATTGTCACTGATGGCCGTGTGTCCCCTGGTGACACCGCTGTGCCCCTGGGTGACACCGCTGTGCCCTGCCCCTGGGTGACACCGCTGTGCCCTGCCCCTGGGTGACACCACTGCCCCCCTGGTGACACTGCTGTCCCCTAGGTGACCCCGCTGTCCCCGTGTCCTCTGGTGACACCGCTGTCCCTGCGTCCCCTGTTCCCGATGTTCACGTGTCCCCTGACCCCACTGTCCCCTGTCCCTTGAGTGACACCTCTGTCCCCTTGTCCCCCGGGTGACACTGCTGTCCCCTGTCCCTGGGTGACATCGCTGTCGCTTGGTGACATGCCTGTCCCTGGTGACACCGCTGTCCCTGTCCTTGGTGACACGCCTGTCCCTGGTGACACCGCTGTCCCTGTCCTTGGTGACACGCCTGTCCCTGGTGACACCGCTGTCCCTGTCCCTGGTGACACGGCTGTCCCCTGTCCCCTGGTGACATGGCTGTCCCTGGTGACACGGCTGTCCCCTGTCCCCTGGTGACACGGCTGTCCCTGGTGACACGGCTGTCCCCTGGTGACACGCCTGTCCCTGTCCCCGTGCAGCGAGCGGCTCCGTGCCCGCGCCGCGCAGGTGCAGCGTCTCTACGCGGGGCTGTGTCACCTGGCCGGGGACCGCAGGGCCACCCTGCAGGGCCACCACCGGCTGTGCCAGCTGCGCCGCGACCTCGATGACCTGGAGCAGTGGATCTCGGAGCGAGAGGTGGTGGCGGCGTCCCGGGAGCTGGGACAGGACTTCGAGCACGTCACGGTGAGGGGACACTGAGGGGACATGGAGGGGACACGGGTGTTGTGGCACTGAGGGGACACGGGGGGACACGGGTGTTGTGACACTGAGGAGTCCCTCAGTGCCAGGTGGTCCCCAGGTCATCTTGACACTGGGGGGGGTCCTTGTGTCCCCCTGCCACCAGTGGTGTCCCTGTCACTGGGGGTGTCCCATGTCCCCTGTCCCCCGGGATGTCCCCTATCCCCAGGAATTGTCCCCCTCACCCTGGTGTGTCCCATGTCCCCCTGTCACCAGGAGTGCCCCCTGTCCCCCCATCCCCTGTCCTCCTGACCCCCTGTCCTGTGTCCCTGTGTCCCTTGTCCCCCTGTCCCGTCTTCCCTGACCCCTGTCCCGTGTCCTCCTGTCCTGTGTCCCCTGTTTGGGGACACCCTGGGGACACCCTGGGGACACCCTGGGGACACCCCCTGCCGCTGCGGGCACGGCCAGGGTGGCCCCTGACAGCCCTGTCCCCGTGCTCGCTGTCCCCTGAGGTCCCTGCTGTGTCGCCATGTCCATTGTCACTGATGGCCGTGTGTCCCCTGGTGACACCGCTGTGCCCCTGGGTGACACCGCTGTGCCCTGCCCCTGGGTGACACCGCTGTGCCCTGCCCCTGGGTGACACCACTGCCCCCCTGGTGACACTGCTGTCCCCTAGGTGACCCCGCTGTCCCCGTGTCCTCTGGTGACACCGCTGTCCCTGCGTCCCCTGTTCCCGATGTTCACGTGTCCCCTGACCCCACTGTCCCCTGTCCCTTGAGTGACACCTCTGTCCCCTTGTCCCCCGGGTGACACTGCTGTCCCCTGTCCCTGGGTGACATCGCTGTCGCTTGGTGACATGCCTGTCCCTGGTGACACCGCTGTCCCTGTCCTTGGTGACACGCCTGTCCCTGGTGACACCGCTGTCCCTGTCCCTGGTGACACGGCTGTCCCCTGTCCCCTGGTGACATGGCTGTCCCTGGTGACACGGCTGTCCCCTGTCCCCTGGTGACACGGCTGTCCCTGGTGACACAGCTGTCCCCTGTCCTTGGTGACACGGCTGTCCCTGGTGACACGGCTGTCCCCTGGTGACACGCCTGTCCCTGTCCCCGTGCAGCGAGCGGCTCCGTGCCCGCGCCGCGCAGGTGCAGCGTCTCTACGCGGGGCTGTGTCACCTGGCCGGGGACCGCAGGGCCACCCTGCAGGGCCACCACCGGCTGTGCCAGCTGCGCCGCGACCTCGATGACCTGGAGCAGTGGATCTCGGAGCGAGAGGTGGTGGCGGCGTCCCGGGAGCTGGGACAGGACTTCGAGCACGTCACGGTGAGGGGACACTGAGGGGACATGGAGGGGACACGGGTGTTGTGGCACTGAGGGGACACGGGGGGACACGGGTGTTGTGACACTGAGGAGTCCCTCAGTGCCAGGTGGTCCCCAGGTCATCTTGACACTGGGGGGGGTCCTTGTGTCCCCCTGCCACCAGTGGTGTCCCTGTCACTGGGGGTGTCCCATGTCCCCTGTCCCCCGGGATGTCCCCTATCCCCAGGAATTGTCCCCCTCACCCTGGTGTGTCCCATGTCCCCCTGTCACCAGGAGTGCCCCCTGTCCCCCCATCCCCTGTCCTCCTGACCCCCTGTCCTGTGTCCCTGTGTCCCTTGTCCCCCTGTCCCGTCTTCCCTGACCCCTGTCCCGTGTCCTCCTGTCCTGTGTCCCCTGTTCCATGTCACCTGACTGCTGTCCCCTGTCCCTGGACCCCTGTCCCCTGACCCCTGACCGCTGTCCTTGTGACCCCCCTGATCCCTGTCCCCTGTCCCTTGGCCCTCTGTCCCCTGCCCCCGTGTCCCCTGACCCCTATTCTGTGTCCCCTGACCCCTGTCCCCTGTCCCTTGTCCCTTGTCCCCTGACCCCTGTCTCGTGTCCCCTGATCCCTGTCCCCTGTCCCTTGGCCCTCTGTCCCCTGCCCCCATGTCCCCTGACCCCGTCCTGTGTCCCCTGACCCCTGTCCCATGTCCCCTGTCCCTTGACCCCTGTCTCCTGTCTCATGTCCCCTGACCCCTGTCTCCTGTCCCCTGACCCCTGTCCCCTGTCCCTTGTCCCCTGACCCCTGTCTTCTGTCCCCTGACCCCTGACCCCTGTCCCGTGTCCCCCATCCCATTTCCCTTGTGTCCCCTGACCCCTGACCCCTGTCCCCTGTCCCTTGTCCCCTGACCCCTGTCTCTTGTCCCTTCTCCCTTGTCCCCTGACCCCTGTCCCTTGTCCCCTGACCCCTGTCCCCTGTCCGCGTCCCCACAGCTGCTCCGGGACAAGTTCCGCGAGTTCTCCCGGGACACGGGCGGGCTGGGCCAGGAGCGGGTGGACGCGGCCAACGCGGCGGCGGCGGCGCTGATCGCCGGGGGCCACCCCGAGCGCGCGGCCGTGGCCCAGTGGCAAGCGGGGCTCAACGAGGCCTGGGCCGAGCTGCTGGAGCTGGTGGCCACGCGGGCGCAGGAGCTGGCGGCCGCGCACGAGCTGCAGCGCTTCCGCCGCGACGCGCGGCAGGTGCTGGCGCAGCTGCGCGCCAAGGCCCGGCAGGTGCCCGAGGAGCTGGGCCGCGACCTGAGGGCGGCCGAGGGGCTGGAGAGGCAGCACCGCGCCTTCGAGCACGACGTGCAGGCCCTGAGCGCGCAGGTGAGGGCGCGGGGACGGGGACGGGGACGGGGACAGGGGAGGGGGTGGGACAAGCGAGGGGATGGGAACAGCTAAGAGGATGGGACAGGTGAGGGGATGGGGACAGGGGATGGGACAGGGGACAGGGGACAGGGGAGGGGATGGGGACAGGGGATGGGACAGGGGACAGGGGACAGGGGAGGGGATGGGGACAGGGGAGGTCACAGGGACAGGTGAGGGAAAAGGGACAGGGGACAGGTGAGGGGGTGGGGACAGGGGATGGGACAGGGGACAGGGGACAGGGGAGGGGATGGGACAAGTGAGGGGATGGGAACAGGTAAGAGGATGGGACAGGTGAGGGCACAGGGACAGGTGAGGGGGGAGGGGGGAAGGGGGGGGGGGGGGGGACGGGGGAGGGGAAAGGGGACAGGGGACAGGGGAGGGGATGGGACAAGTGAGGGGATGGGAACAGGTAAGAGGATGGGACAGGTGAGGGCACAGGGACAGGTGAGGGGATGGGGACAGGGGACAAGGGAGGGGACAGGGGAGGGGATGGGGACATGGGATGGGACAGGGGACAGGGGAGGGGATGGAGACAGGGATGGGGACAGGGACAGGGGAGGGGACAGGTAAGAGAATGGGACAGGTGAGGGGACAGGTGAGTGATCATGGAGACACAGGTGAAACAGGGACAGAGGGGACAAGGGAGGGGACAGGGGAGGGGATGGGGACATGGGATGGGACAGGGGACAGGGGAGGGGATGGGACAAGTGAGGGGAGGGGAACAGGGGGGAGGGGAGGGGACAGGGACAGGGGAGGGAAAAAGGACAGGTGAGGGGATGGGGACAAGGGGGGGGGTGGGATGGGGACAGGGGAGGGGACAGGGGAGGGGATGGAGACAGGGATGGGGACAGGGACAGGGGAGGGGACAGGTAAGAGAATGGGACAGGTGAGGGGACAGGTGAGTGATCATGGAGACACAGGTGAAACAGGGACAGGTGAGGGGTTGGGGACAGGGGACATGGGAGGGGACAGGGGACGGGATGGGGATGGAGATGGATGGGGACAGGGACAGGGGAGGGCACGGGGACAGGGGAGGGGATGGGGACAAAGGAGGGGACAGGGGAGGGGTTGGGTGAGGATGCAAGGACAGGTGAGTGATCATGGAGACACAGGTGGAACAGGGACAGGTGAGGAGATGGGAACAGGTGAGAGGCAGGGAGGGACAGGTAAGGGGCAGGTGAGGGACATGCTGTGGTGCAGGAGGTGGCTGTGAGTGGGATATGTCACCTGTACCACGTCACACCTGTCTCTCAGGTGACAGCTGTCCAGGAGGCTGTGGGCTACCTGTCACACCTGTCCCATGTCACACCTGTCACACCTGTCACACCTGTCACACCTGTCCCACCTGTCCCCAGGTGACAGCCGTGCAGGAGGCCGCGGGCCGTCTGTCACACCTGTCATACCTGTCACACCTGTCCCATGTCACACGGTGGCCGCGGCCTGGGCCGAGCTCCGCGGGCGCTGCCAGCGCCGGCGCCGCCTGCTCGGGGACAGCGTGGAGCAATTCCGGTTCCTCCGCGCCGCCCGCGACCTCCGGCTCTGGATGGACGGCGTGAACCTGCAGCTGCAGGCCCGCGAGCGGCCCAGGTGGGACAGGGGACACCGCGGGGACGCTGGGGACACCGCGGGGACAGGGGGACACGGGGACACCATGGGGACACTGCGGGGACACCGTGGGGACGGGGGATACCATGGGGACAGGGGACACCGCGGGGACACTGGGGACACCGTGGGGACAGGGGGACACAGGGACACCATGGCGACACTGCGGGGACAGTGGCGACACTGTGAGGACAGGGGGACATGGGGACACCATGGGGACAGGGGACACCGCAGGGACACTGCAGGGACACCATGGGGACCCCGTGGGGACAGGGGGACACAGGGACACCACGGGGATAGGGGACACCGCGGGGACACTGGGGACACTGTGGGGACAGGGGGACACCGTGGGGACAGGGGGACACCGCGGGGACACTGGCGACACCGTGGGGACAGGGGGACACCACAGGGACACTGCGGGGACACTGTGGGGACAGGGGGACACGGGGACACCACGGGGACACCATGGGGACAGGGGACACGGCGGGGACACTGGGGACACCCTGGGGACAGGGGGACATGGGGACACCACGGGGACACCATGGGGACAGGGGACACCGCGGGGACACTGGGGACACTGTAGGGACACCGTGGGGACACCATAGGGACAGGGGGATACGGTGACACCACGGGGACACCATGGGGACAGAGGGGACACCACAGGGATGGGGCAGACATGGGGACACTGTGAGGACATGGGGACACTGCGGGGACAGGGGGGATATGGGGACACTACGGGGACAGGGGACACCATGGGGACACTACGGGGACAGGGGGGACATGGGGACACTACGGGGACACGGAGACATTGCAGGGACAGGGGACACCACAGGGACACCACGGGGACACCGCCGGGACACGGGGACACTGCGGGGACAGGGAGGACACAGGGACACCATGGGGATGGGGCTGACAGCACTGGGACATGGGGACACCGTGGAGATGGGGGGGGACACACAGGGACATGGGGACACACAGGAATGTGGGAGCAGCCCTGGGGACACGGGGACACACAGACACATGGGGACAGCCCTGGGGACATCTCAAGGACACCCCAGGGACACCGCAGTGACCCCAGCGCGGGGCTGTGACCGCGGCCACCCTGGTGGCCCAGCCCTGCCCGCTGCGCCCGGGCGGAGCCGGGGTGACCCCGAGGTGACCCCGCGGTGACCCCGCGGTGACCCCGCGGTGACCCCGCGGTGTCCCTGTCCCCCTGCAGGGATGTCACCGCGGCCGAGCTGCTGATCCAGCAGCACCAGGGGCTGCGGGCGGAGCTGGAGGCGCGCGAGGGCTCCTTCGGGGCCTGCGTGGCCGCGGCCACCGCGCTGCTGCAGCGCGGCCACCACGAGGCCGACAAGGTGGGGCGCGCCTGTCACCGCGTCACCCTGTCACCCTGCCCCTGTGTCACCCTGCCACCGCGTCCTCATCGCCGCCTCTCCGTGCTTGTCACTGTCCCCAAGTCCCCAGCCCCACGTCCCTCGCTGAAATCCTCGTCTCCACGGTGCTGTCCCCATCCAGTGTCCTCTCGTGTCCCCTCATGTCCCTGTGTCCCAAGCCCACCCCTGTATCTCAGTCCCCGTGTCCTTGTCCCCATCCTGTCCCCGAGCTTGTCCCCTAATCCCTGTCCCTGTCCCCACCCCTGTCCCGATCTTTGTCCCCTCATCCCTGTCCCATGTCCCTCTTCCCTGTCCCTGTCCCCATCCCTGTCCCATGTCCCCACCCTGTCCCTGTCCCCATCCCTGTCCCTGTCCCCTCGTCCCTGTCCCTGTCCCCACCCCTGTCCCATGTCCCCACCCTGTCCCTGTCCCCACCCCTGTCCCATGTCCCCACCCTGTCCCTGTCCCCACCCCTGTCCCTGTCCCCCCAGCTGTCCCAGGAGCTGGCCGAGCTCCAGGAGCGCCGCAGGGACATCGGGGAGCGCTGGCAGGACAAGCTGGAGTGGCTGCAGACTGGTGAGGACTGGGGGGACCCCACGTGTCCCCCGTGTCCCCGCCGTGTCCCCTCATGTCCCCTGTGCCAGGCTCGGGTGCTGTCCCCACCCAGAAGATGAGAACTGAGGGGTCCCTGTGCCCGTGTCCCTCTCAAAGGGGGGGCAGGCGTGTCACAGGGGTGTCCCGGTGTCCCCTCTCAGTGCCCAGGGGTGGCACAGGGGTGGCCCCGGGGTGTCCCTGTCCCCTGGTGTCCCCTCTCAGTGCCCGGTGCTGGCTCCATGATGCCTCACGGGTGGCCCCAGGGTGTCCCTGTGTCCCGTGTCCCCTCCCAGTGCCCGGTGCTGTCTCAGGGTGGCCCCGGGGTGTCCCTGTGTCCCCTGTCCCCTCCCAGTGCCCGGTGCTGTCTCAGGGTGGCTCCGGGGTGTCCCTGTGTCCCCTGTCCCCTCCCAGTGCCCGGTGCTGTCTCAGGGTGGCTCCGGGGTGGCCCCGGGGTGTCCCTGTGTCCCGTGTCCCCTCTCAGTGCCTGGTGCTGGCTCCGTGCTGTCTCAGGGTGGCTCTGGGGTGTCCCTGCCCCGGTGGCCCCGGTGACAGTGCCCGTGTCCCCAGTGCTGGAGGTGCTGGTGTTCGGGCGCGACGCGGCGGCGGCCGAGGCCTGGCTGGCCAGCAGGGAGCCCCTGGCCCGCGCCCCCGAGCTGGGCTCCAGCCTGGCCGAGGCCGAGACCCTCCTCAAACGGCACCAGAGCTTCCAGAAGGCCGCGGCCGCCTGGGAGGAGAGATTCGCTGCGCTGAGCCGCCTGACCACGGTGGGGACACGGGGACAGGGGGAGCCCCCGGCCCTCAACGGGATCCGCCCCGACGGCGCCGCGGGCCAGGTAAGCCCCCCGACCCCCCAAAGTGAGGGGGGGGCACCCCCGGACCCCTCCCCCACCCCTCAGCCCTGTCCCCCTCCCCAGGTCCCCAGAGGGGCGCAGGAGGGGGGGCCCGGCCCGGGGGGAGGGGCGGCCACGCTGCCCCCCCGCGCCCCTCCCCCACCCGAGACCCTCGAGGGGGGGCTGTGCCGGAAACAGGAGCTGGAGGCGCCCGGCAAGAGAGCCACCAACAGGTCAGAGGGGACACTGGGGACACCTGGGGACACCTGGGGACGGATGGGGACCCTGGGGACACCTGGGGACAGCTGGGGACAGCTGGGGACACTGGGGACACCTTGGGGACAGCCTGAGGACACCTGGGGACACCCTGGGGACACTCTGGGGACAGATGGGGACAGCGGGGACACGTGGGGACACCTGGGGACACCTGGGGACAGCTGGGGACAGCTGGGGACACTGGGGACACCTGGGGACAGCCTGGGGACACTGGGGACAGCCTGGGGACACTGGGGACACCTGGGGACACTGGGGACAGCTGGGGACACCTGGGGACACCTTGGGACACATGGGGATACACTGGGGACACCTTGGGGATAGCTGGGGACACCTGGGGACACCTTGGGGACACCTTGGGGACACCTGGGGACACCTTGGGGACACCTGGGGACACTGGGGACACCTTGGAGACACCTGGGGAGAGCCTGGGGACAGCTAGGGACACTTTGGGGACACCATGGGGACTCCTTTGGGACGTGGCCAGGCCTTGGGGACACACCTGGGGACACCATGGGGGTTGCCTAAACCCCCCCCTTCTTTCCCCCCCTGGTCGTCGCCCACACCTGGGGAGAGCCTGGGGACAGCTAGGGACACTTTGGGGACACCATGGGGACTCCTTTGGGACGTGGCCAGGCCTTGGGGACACACCTGGGGACACCATGGGGGTTGCCTAAACCCCCCCCCTTGTGACCCCCCCAGGTCGTGGCAGAGCTGGGGCTGATTCTGGGGGGGTGGGGGTCCCCAAAACCCCCCGTGACCCCCCCGTGCCCCCCAGGTCCTGGCAGAGCCTGTACTGCGTGCTGCGGGGGGGGGCCCTGAGCGTGTTCAAGGACGCGCGGGGGGCGGGCGCGGGGGTCCCGTACCACGGCGAGCCCCCCACCCCCCTGCGCGGGGCGCGCTGCCAGCCCGCCACGGCCTACCGCAAACGGAAACACGTCTTCAGGCTGGGGTACGGAAACTGGGGGGAATGGGGAATTGTGGGGGGAAGTGGAGGGAAATGGGGGGAAAATGGGGAGAAAAATGGAGCAAAAATGGGGGAGGAGATGGGGAAAAATGCAGAGGAAAATGGGGGAGAATGGGGTGGGAAATGGGGAAAAAATGGGAAGAAAGGGAGAAAAAAAATGGGAATAACGGAGCAGACGTGCAAGGAAATGGTCAAAAATGGGGGGAAAAATGTGGGGACACGAGGGGGTCCCAGCGGGGCTGGGGGGGGGGTCCCCGTGGCTGATCCCGGCCCCCCCCAGGCTGAGCGATGGGAAGGAATTCCTGTTCCAGGCTAAGGACGAGGTGAGACCCCCCCCTTGTCCCCTCGGTGTCCCCCGATGT